TGTTATGCGTTAATAGATAGTGTTGCCTCCAAGTTGAGTGTGCGCCTCAATTGAACCCACTACAAACGTGAGTGGTAGTCAATGAGAACACCTCTCATGGCCACAAGGTGCGGGGGGGGGACAGTCTCGAAACTATAAATGCAAAGACATTTTTTAAAAAGTACTGTTGGTAGTACAGCACAAATATATATGGAGATAAAAAAACGTACCTCCATTATTAACACCGCCTTTGACCAAAGCATTTTGAATGCATCGAATGTTATCGAGATCTTAGAAGCTAAGTGGCGTTAAGCTTGCTAAATATGCATATCAGAATCAGAATATGTGTTTACACTGGAGGAATCCGATGAGGTATTAAGCTCTTTTTCACAGATGTCCAGTAGGGTGCGGGTGAAAACGTTACAACAAAGAACACGATAGAAGTGTACAGTAGAGGCTTGGGCTGCAAGGCTGTCAGTACAAAAATTAATTATTGAACCCACCACGATCAGTTCATCAGCTTTTATACCAGGATCGCAATAAAAACGCTTCAGAGGAAATACACATTCCATTAACTCTGTGTTTGTGCGAAACGCCAAACACGCCACGCAGTGTGGCGGAGCTTGTGATGTTGTGGAACGGCGAGTGGTGAGATGAGACAACGCACCGCCTGCTTGCCGCGCTGAACCTGCTGCAGGAATTCAATCAGCAGCTGGTGTTGTGCCACTGTAGACTCCTGGAAAAGTAAAAAAAAAGCAAAGCGCATGACAAGGTCAAATAAAATACTTTGCATCTTCACTTAAGACGTAGACGTTGTAAAATAATGCAGGGTCCTTTGTTAATACACTGACGAATAAAGGCTTCCCCACGCTGTGCCGGTCACGGGGATTGTTTGGCCATATTTCATCATGCTGCGTCAGTGTGGGTTGCTGAAGGGATGGAGCCCGGACACGGTTCAGAATTAGCTCACCGCCGATGTTAGCCACGACTGGGAACGAAACACAGGTTGCTGGGTTCATAGCGCAGTGCGCGTAAACCAATACACCGCGCTACGTGTATAAATACAATGGTGCGTCTCTAGGCGTAGATTAGACCTCTGAATTACACTCGCAGGCACGATGGCAGTGCCTTTGGATGCTGCTCAACTCTATCGCAATGTGATAAAAAAATATATTTATCCATTGTAGGACTAAACAATTAAGATTGCAACACAGGGTCCTTCTATCATGGTGATTTGCGGAATCTTCCAGCCATCCATGCCCACCACTCTTGTAGAGCATCTTTAGATGTGGTCACACACAGGCGCTTTATAAATCCTAATTGGATTGTACCAACTTGCCGCCTTTATGTAATCATGCATAGGCCCAGCTCCGTAACTACAACAACATTCGATTTCAAAGGCAATTTCGGGATCAAGATTGTGCAAAGCACTTAACAAATTCACGCGTAATGCACCGTTAAGACAAAACACAACGTATTTAAATGACTGCCGAGAATTGGTCAGTTCTTACCTAGGGTGGGAGAGAATTCCACACATTCCATCACCCTTCGTCCGCACCGGGTGGGAGAGAATTCTCTCCCTAGGGTGGGAGAGAATTCCACACATTCCATCACCCTTCGTCCACATCGGGTGGGAGAGAATTCTCTCCCTAGGGTGGGAGAGAATTCCACACATTCCATCACCCTTCGTACACATCGGGTGGGAGAGAATTATCTCCCTAGGGTGGGAGAGAATTATCTCCCTAGGGTGGGAGAGAATTCCACACATTCCATCACCCTTCGTACACATCGGGTGGGAGGGAATTCTCTCCCTAGGGTGGGAGAGAATTCCATACATTCCATCACCCTTCGTCCATATGGGTGCCGTGCAATCGCACGCTGCGTTTGCACGTGCGCGCATGGGGCACCGTCGCTACTTGTCGCGAGCAACTTACATCAGCGTGCGGATGCAAGGCCAGCGATTGCCCCGTGAGCGGAAGCTCGTGGCAGAAGCTGTGGCCGCACATGCGAACGCCTCTGCGGAACGGAACTATACCGGCGCCCTATCGCTGCGGAATTATCGCAGCGATGTCGCACCGCCTGACAACAACCGACCTCTCCGGCACCACATTCCTCCCCGACACCACACCATCGCAAATGCCACCGTGCCGCGTTCCCGTTGCCGCCGGTGGCCAAACCTGTGCAAACGCCACCAGCATTCCTCCAGGGGGCCAACAACTCACCGCTTCCAGCCGCATCTTCTTCTCCGTGAGCAGCTCCAGAATGCGGTTCACGTCGGCGAGCTCCAGGCCATCTTGTTCCAGCGCCAGCAACTCCTGGATAGGGTGCCACTGCTGGCCGCTCTGTGAGGAAGAGGGGGGGGGGGGGGGTGGCAGGGTGGAAGGGTGGAAGGGTCACACAACACAGGAATCAAGAGACGCGGCCGGTCACCTTCTTTCAGCAGAGTTCACGCGTGTCCACGTCGAGGCAGGTGCAGCTAGCGACGACACCGACAGGCCCTAGCGCACAGCGCGTCTTCGGTCAGCAAACTCAACCGTGGACCACGTAGAGGAACTATTTCAAAAATGTTATATTTTCGGTTTACCAGGCAAGGTCCACTGAGCTATATACCTCTCTTTCAGTACCGATCTGGCCACAAATGAAGGATCAATGAAGTGGCTTACGTGGAAATTTACAAAAGCCAAATTCTCGTATAAAGTATATGAACCACTGCTTGCCACGTCGATCATTCGCTGTGGGATTCAGATATTCTCCAGGCGACTTGTGAAGCCGTCCACTGGCTCACCATCTAAGGAGCACCGGTGGTCGATACACAGCACAAAGATGTTAAAGGAGGGAGGATCTAATGGGTGTGCATGTCGAACTTCTTTCACGTCGTACGTAGCCAACCGTGCTAAAATCGGGAGGTGCGGGGGAAGGACAACGAACTAAACACAACAAGCGGTTCTGAAGTAGTGAGCGTGGCGGTTAGTGGTCACTTTTCTGCGTGGCATTTATATGTTCACCACGTGTTCTGCACGGGCTTCCTCCAGGATCTCCAGTTTCCTAGAACCGCTAATAAACCGTACAGTGGAACCGGCATTGGCCGAACATCCAAACGTTGAAACATTTCCCGCAAATTAATATTGCACGCAGCAAACCCTGAGGCCCGCGTGACTACAAACAAATTAATATTACACGCAGCAGACCGTGAGACCCGGGTGACTACAAACAAATTAATATTACACGCAGCAGACCCTGAGACCCGTGACTACAAACAAATTAATATTACACGCAGCAGACCCTGAGACCCACGTGACTACAAACAAATTAATATTACACGCAGCAGACCCTGAGACCCGCCAATACAAACAAATTAATATTACACGCAGCAAACCCTGAGACCCGTGACTACAAACAAATTAATATTACACGCAGCCAACCCTGAGACCCGTGTGACTACAAACAAATTAATATTACACGCAGCCAACCCTGAGACCCGTGTGACTACAAACAAATTAATATTACACGCAGCAAACTCTGAGACCTGTGACTACAAACAAATTAATATTACACGCAGCCAACCCTGAGACCCGCCACTACAAACAAATTAATATTACACGCAGCAGACCCTGAGACCCGTGACTACAAACAAATTAATATTACACACAGCAAACCCTGAGCCGGCGACTACAAACAAATTAATATTACACGCAGCAGACCCTGAGACCGTGACTACAAACAAATTAATATTACACGCAGCAAACCCTGAGACCCGTGACTACAAACAAATTAATATTACACGCAGCAAACCCTGAGACCCGCCACTACAAACAAATTAATATCACACGCAGCAGACCCTGAGACCCATGACTGCAAACAAATTAATATTACACGCAGCAGACCCTGAGACCCGCGTGACTACAAACAAATTAATATTACACGCAGCAAATCCTGAGACCCGCCACTACAAACAAATTAATATTACACGCAGCCAACCCTGAGACCCGTGACTACAAACAAATTAATATTACACGCAGCAAACTCTGAGACCCGTGACTACAAACAAATTAATATTACACGCAGCAGACCCTGAGACCGGTGACTACAAACAAATTAATATTACACACAGCAAACCCTGAGCCGGCGACTACAAACAAATTAATATTACACGCAGCAAACCCTGATACCCGTGACTACAAACAAATTAATATTACACGCAGCAAACCCTGAGACCCGCCACTAAAAACAAATTAATATTACACGCAGCCAACCCTGAGACCCGTGACTACAAACAAATTAATATTACACGCAGCAGACCCTGAGACCCACGTGACTACAAACAAATTAATATTACACGCAGCAGACCCTGAGACCCGTGACTACAAACAAATTAATATTACACGCAGCAAACCCTGAGACCCGTGACTACAAATAAATTAATATTACACGCAGCAGACCCTGAGACCCGTGACTACAAACAAATTAATATTACACGCAGCAGACCCTGAGACCCGTGACTACAAACAAATTAATATTACACGCAGCAGACCCTGAGACCCGCGTGACTACAAACAAATTAATATTACATGCAGCAGACCCTGAGACCCGCCACTACAAACAAATTAATATTACACGCAGCAAACCCTGAGACCCGCGTGAATACAAACAAATTAATATTACACGCAGCAGACCCTGAGACCCGCGTGACTACAAACAAATTAATATTACACACAGCAGACCCTGAGACCCGTGACTACAAACAAATTAATAATAGACGCAGCAGACCCTGAGACCCGCGTGACTACAAACAAATTAATATTACATGCAGCAAACCCTGAGACCCGCCACTACAAACAAATAAATATTACACGCAGCAGACCCTCAGACCCGTGACTACAAACAAATTAATATTACACGCAGCAGACCCTGGGACCCGTGACTGCAAACAAATTAATATTACACGCAGCAGACCCTGAGACCCGCGTGACTACAAACAAATTATTATTACACGCAGCAGACCCTGAGACCCGCGTGACTACAAACAAATTAATATTACACGCAGCAGACCCTGAGACCCGCCACTACAAACAAATTAATATTACACGCAGCAGACCCTGAGACCCGCGTGAATACAAACAAATTAATATTACATGCAGCAGACCCTGAGACCCGCGTGACTACAAACAAATTAATATTACACACAGCAGACCCTGAGACCCGTGACTACAAACAAATCAATAATACACGCAGCAGACCCTGAGACCCGCGTGACTACAAACAAATTAATATTACACGCAGCAAACCCTGAGACCCGCCACTACAAACAAATAAATATTACACGCAGCAGACCCTCAGACCTGTGACTACAAACAAATTAATATTACACGCAGCAGACCCTGGGACCCGTGACTGCAAACAAATCAATATTACACGCAGCAGACCCTGAGACCCGCGTGACTACAAACAAATTAATATTACACGCAGCAGACCCTGAGACCCGCGAGACTACAAACAAATTAATATTACACGCAGCAGACCCTGAGACCCGCCAATACAAACAAATTAATATTACACGCAGCAAACCCTGAGACCCGTGACTACAAACAAATTAATATTACACGCAGCCAACCCTGAGACCCGTGTGACTACAAACAAATTAATATTACACGCAGCCAACCCTGAGACCCGTGTGACTACAAACAAATTAATATTACACGCAGCAAACTCTGAGACCCGTGACTACAAACAAATTAATATTACACGCAGCCAAACCTGAGACCCGCCACTACAAACAAATTAATATTACACGCAGCAGACCCTAAGACCCGTGACTACAAACAAATTAATATTACACACAGCAAACCCTGAGCCGGCGACTACAAACAAATTAATATTACACGCAACAGACCCTGAGACCGTGACTACAAACAAATTAATATTACACGCAGCAAACCCTGAGACCCGTGACTACAAACAAATTAATATTACACGTAGCAAACCCTGAGACCCGCCACTACAAACAAATTAATATTACACGCAGCAGACCCTGAGACCCATGACTGCAAACAAATTAATATTATACGCAGCAGACCCTGAGACCCGCGTGACAACAAACAAATTAATATTACACGCAGCCAACCCTGAGACCCGCGTGACTACAAACAAATTAATATTACACGCAGCCAACCTTGAGACCCGCCACTACAAACAAATTAATATTACACGCAGCAGACCCTGAGACCCGTGACTACAAACAAATTAATATTACACGCAGCAAACCCTGAGACCCGTGACTACAAACAAATTAATATTACACGCAGCAAACCCTGAGACCCGCCACTACAAACAAATTAATATTACACGCAGCCAACCCTGAGACCCGTGACTACAAACAAATTAATATTACACGCAGCAGACCCTGGGACCCGCCACTACAAACAAATTAATATTACACGCAGCAGACCCTGAGACCCGCGTGACTACAAACAAATTAATATTACACGCAGCAGACCCTGAGACCCGCGTGACTACAAACAAATTAATATTACACGCAGCAGACCCTGAGACCCGCCACTACAAACAAATTAATATTACACGCAGCAAACCCTGAGACCCGCGTGAATACAAACAAATTAATATTACACGCAGCAGACCCTGAGACCCGCGTGACTACAAACAAATTAATATTACACACAGCAGACCCTGAGACCCGTGACTACAAACAAATCAATAATACACGCAGCAGACCCTGAGACCCGCGTGACTACAAACAAATTAATATTACACGCAGCAAACCCTGAGACCCGCCACTACAAACAAATAAATATTACACGCAGCAGACCCTCAGACCTGTGACTACAAACAAATTAATATTACACGCAGCAGACCCTGGGACCCGTGACTGCAAACAAATTAATATTACACGCAGCAGACCCTGAGACCCGCGTGACTACAAACAAATTAATATTACACGCAGCAGACCCTGAGACCCGCGTGACTACAAACAAATTAATATTACACGCAGCAGACCCTGAGACCCGCCAATACAAACAAATTAATATTACACGCAGCAAACCCTGAGACCCGTGACTACAAACAAATTAATATTACACGCAGCCAACCCTGAGACCCGTGTGACTACAAACAAATTAATATAACACGCAGCAAACTCTGAGACCCGTGACTACAAACAAATTAATATTACACGCAGCCAACCCTGAGACCCGCCACTACAAACAAATTAATATTACACGCAGCAGACCCTGAGACCCGTGACTACAAACAAATTAATATTACACACAGCAAACCCTCAGCCGGCGACTACAAACAAATTAATATTACACGCAACAGACCCTGATAC